TACATAGGAATGATTAAGTCATTGGCCATTGATGAACTCAATCTGTAGCCCCAGTCCCCCCCCCAGAGGTCAAATGGGGATGGGACTGAAAGTTCCAAACTTCTAGTCAGATGGTTGGTTCCTCTGGCAATCAGCCCTCATCCTTACATCCTTTCCAAAATTTATCTCATGAACTAACAAAAGACACCTTTATGGCTCTCAACACTTAGGAAATCCCAAGGGTTTTAGGAGCTCTGTGTCAGAAATGGGACAAAGACTTAATGTATATTTATTACAGCTCACAATATCATATAGCCAAAGTAGGATTCTATATTATTATTATTATTATTATTATTATTATTATTATTATTATTATTATTATTATTATTTTCTTTCATACTTCTGCTAGCTACTTCTTTCTGGAATGCCCTTTCTTCTCTTCTACAGCTATCTGTGAATTTTGCTAATTCTCAAGACTCAATCTCCACCTCTGAGAAGCTTCTCCTGACTCTTACCATCATCCCTCTTCTTAATGGGTCAGGTTGACACGAATTCTCATGCATTCTGTGGGGCAACAGAGATCTGACCTTGGTCTCAGTGGAAAATTATTAAATTAGGATTTTCTGTAGAACACGGGTGAGACTCAGCCTAAACTCCAGCCAGTCATGTTGGAGGAGGCTTTCAGAGTTAGCTCCGTTACACAGTTCTTGTAGTTAAAAGATCAGATTTTACTGCTTTTGCATCTTGAACAAACCACCCAACCCCAAGATTTCAGAGGAACACTACTCTCCTCCTTCTGTTTGTCACAATTGCCCCTCCCATTTGGATAGGCTTCAGCAGTTATGCCATGCTTTCACAGCTGTTATTTCACTTGTTCCTTACAGTAACCCCGCGGGGCAGAGAGAGATGGTTTTCACCAGTTGAGGGGACTGCAATTTCTACTAGTTCTGAGGACTTAAATCCTCGCATCAGTTTATGAAACTTCCCGTGGAACAGAAGCTTCCTATCAGGAAAGCTGTGGGGTAATGGCAGTTGTGAAGATGTTATCAGCTGCCGGGATGCCAGGGGCTGGACCCCACTCCCACATCTGCCAGATTCAGGCACAGTTGCTCAGCATTTCTGTTTCTTGCTGCCAGATTATGTCCCACAGATTAACTGCTTGAAGACTGAACAGTTCCATCTTTATAGTTCAACTCCCTTCTTCTATTTTGTCTTAGACCAACTGAAGAAGCCAATTGGTCATTTCAACATGACTGGAATCTCCCTAGCCAGATCCACAAGATTCATTAAGTATCCTTACTATTTTTCATTAGGTACTCTGTTTTTGTTTTTACCTCAGACAACAGTGTTGCCAAACTTTTTACCACCTATAACCTTTTGTCCAACTCTATTAGGTTGCTAGGGGTGTCATGATAAGGTACCAAAACTGGGTGGCTTAAACAACAGAAATTTATTGTCTCAAGGTTCTGGAGGCTAGAAATGCAATATCAAGCTACCAGAATGGTTGGTTCCTTCTAAGAGCTATGAGGAAGAATCTCTTCCATCCCTGTCTTCTAGCTTCTGGTTATTTGCTGGCAATTTCTGGTGTTTCCTGGCTTGAAGACCCATCATCCTGATTTCTGTCTTCATGTTCATATGTCATTCTCCTTGTGTGTTTGTGTCCAAATTTACTCTTTTTATAAGGACACCAGTCATATTGGATGAGGCCCCACCCTAATGACCTCATTTTAACTGGATTACCTCTATAAAAACTGTATCTCTAAATAAGATCACATTCTGAGGTACTGGGGATTAGAACTTGAACATATGAATTTTGGGGAGATGCACCAACCTTCAAGAACAATCTCTCACTGTCCTTCAAACCTTCCCTTGAGATCCTTTAAGCTTCTGCCATCCCCTGTCCAAAGCCAACAGCACATGTTTTTTGTTAGCAGTATCTAACTTCACCAGTGTCAGTATCAGTTAGAGCTGATCAGGGAAGCAGCATCACTAAAGAATACCAGATTTATCATAGGGATTAAATACAACACAGTTGCAGGAAAAGCTAGGGAAGAAAAAGTCTGGAAGGAGATGGCTGGATGATCCGAGGAAAGTCTAACCAGGGATCACAAAGGAAAGCTGGTGAAGAACTCTGTGGAAGACTGTAGCCTCTGCATCTGAAAGTGGGCCTGAAACTGACAAGTCATCAGGGAGAGCAGTCAGGAAGAGAAGCCGGACTGAATTGGGGACAGTGAAGACAAACTAGAATCCACAAGGATAACTGGAACCCACAAGGACAAAACAGAACCCCTAGGTATCCCTCACGGTGATGATGCAGGTGGTCTGCAGAAGAAGTTGATGCCTTTCGCACAGAACTACATGTGTGCCTTGCCCCTGAGGCTTGGAGAAGCTGAAATAGGAGATGTGGTCGGAGATGGAAGAGCTGGAGGCCAGTTGCTGCTCTGCACCAACAGTGTGCCAGCAGGTAACAAGTTTACAATCTGCAGTTGGTACTTGGCATCTTCAGGGCACAACAGCTGCTGCTTCACTTGCTCCTTCTGGGTGTTACACACATTTTGTCTTGTGACCAGTCCTATCCTGGAACCAGACTGGGAAGGGAAATCTGGGAAACTTAAATTTCAGTTTAGTTAAATTGACACAGTGCAAATCCACCACATGAGCCAAATATCAACAGTTGCCAGGTACCATGATGCTGTCTGTGTCTCATATGAACTAGTGCCTCATTTAAACGTCATAGGAATTTTGCAAGATAAATATTAGCATCCTCATTTTACATATGAAGAAATGAAGCCTCATATTTGCTCACAGAGAAGCAAATGGTCGAGCTGGGATTCTGTCCTACATCTGTGTGGTAGCCAGCTTCAAGATGGGGCTCCAGTGATTCTTGCCTACTGACATTTATGCTCTTTAGTAGTTCCCCTTCCCACCTTAAGTAGATCTGACCTGAGTAATCAGTTAAATATTGCAGAAATGATGATAAGTGACTTTTGAGGCAGGATCATAAAAGACATTGCAACTTCTACCTTCTCTTCCTTGAATCACTTGCTCTGGGAAAAGCCAGCTGACATGTTGTAAGGACACTCAAGTGGCCTGTGGGCAGATGCACATAGGGAGGAATTGAGGCCTTTTGCGAACAAGTCCATGTGGGTGAACCGTCCTGCAAGTAATTTCTACAGCACCTGCCTTGCCTCAGGTGACTGCAGTCCCATGTCCTGACCGAAACCTCTCAAGAGACCTCAAGCCAGAACTATATGGCTAAAGGGCTTCTAAATTCCGACCCCATAGAAAATATGAAGTGTTTATTATCGTTTTAAGCTGACAAATTTTTGGTTAATTGGTTAGGCAGCAATAGATAATTAATATAATCTGTTAGGTTCCAAAGCACAGCTCCTTCCATGACATTATTTTGCTTTTAATAATTTGTTCAGGTTGTGAGAAAGGGGATTGTGGAAGAAGTAGGAATTGGAAGTTCAGAATGTACTGGTCATGTGACCCCCCCCCAAGCTTTGAAATGTCTTTTTGGCACTTCCAGATACTGAGAGAGAAGGAGGAGTGTCATCTAGTGGTTAATCTGAATGTTGAAAATTAGGAGGGTTTCTTTTTTGTCACTACCCAGGAAAAGCTGAGTTGGTTTGAAGAAATGAGAGGTTAAATCATGTGCTCTGGCTGACCGGCACACTTGAGCTGGAGTTGAGGAATACCAATGATAGAAACTGGATTCTGGCAGGACAAGAAAAGTCCTGACAAATGGTGGAGCGGGCAGGGCCTCTAGGGCCCTCACAGTGAGACTGACAGTTCCCCTGCTTCTGCCCCTTCCCCTCAACTGGGCCATCCCTTCCTTTGGCTCACCAAGTTCCCTTTGGCCTCAAGCTCACTGAAGCAGCTCCTTACTTTTCTGCTCTTTCCGAATCCCCCTTCCTTATGATGCTCTTTTCCTTTTAATAAAGTGCATCTATTTGCATTTAGGAACATAAAAGAAGAAAGCAAAACCAAACTTCATGTGAGAACCATCTCCTTTTGAAAACTATTGGTATTTGTTTTTTCCTTCATATTGTGCCTAGTGACTTAATCAGATTGGCATCAGCCAGCAATAGTCATTATCCTAGGATGCAAGCACTAGGGAATGCCTCCAGGACGTCTGGAGCAACCATGCTCATTTCATACGTGGAGAATTTGAAGCCCAAAGAGCTCAAGTGACCATAGTTAGCAGATACTAAATGAATATCTCTACAACGAGGAGGACGCTCTTCTGGGCTTGGATAGGTTCTTTCAAATGGTCCACCCATTCTGATTAGTAAGATGGGTGGAGTGATTTGCTGGAGTCCTTCTGGGCCTTCTATTATGCAAGCACAGAAACACCAGAGAACAGCAGAATTACTCACATCAAACCCTGCCTAAATTGTGAACTGACCTTCAATAGCTGAGAGTTAGAAAAGAGACTGCCTGACCCTCTGACTTATACCTGATTCTTCCACCTTAAACCTCATCTCTGTGCCCCCCCGGAGTCCACTACACAGTAGGCAACAAGAAAAAAAGTTTGTGAAAGGAATGAGCCAACTTCCCTCTAGGCCTTTCCCTGCTTCCCCTTCCTCTCCCCACCCTCTGACACTAGAGACTGTGAGCATTTGAGACCGTGCCCGGGGACTTTTGGGGATCTTGTCTTGTATCCTCAGACAGTGACCACGTCCCCAGGGCAGGACCGGGGCTCCCTTCTTCACAGCGGGACGGCGGCTGGACCCGGGGAGTTCTGCTCACCCCGACTCTCATAGTTTTCCTCGGGATAGGGGCTCTTGTTTGGGGGGCATGCGAACACCGAAAATGGCCCGAGCTGGTCCGGGGAGCACTAGGGGCATGAGTGGTGGCCCTTGCCGTCCTACCCGGGAAAGAAGACCTGGCTTTCTCACCAGCAGGGAGTTGCAGACCACCCGACCCCGCGCTGCAGCCACGGAGAGAGCTTCCCAGCGGGCGCCCAGTGGGCGGGGCCTGGAGGGGGCGGGGCCTGCCGCGATCAGGTGACGGCGCAGCGGGCGGTGGCGATAGAGGTCGAGGGGTGTCAGACGCGCGGAGTAGCTGGTGGGGCCGTGGCGGCAGTCGGGATAGCAGGGCCGTGGCCATGGGGGGCTTGAAGGACGAGCTGCTTAAAGCCATCTGGCACGCCTTCACCGCGCTCGACCTGGACCACAGCGGCAAGGTCTCCAAGTCCCAGCTCAAGGTGGGCGCTCCCCTGTCCCGGCCCCCAACTCGGTCCTCCCCGGCGCGCGCTCAACTAATCACGGCTGGAAACGGACAGGCGGGCGGGGACCACAGGGAGTGGCGGGCCGGAATGCGGCGAGGCGGCCTGCTCAGGGATGGAGGGGCCAGAGACCCGGATTTGGCACTTTTTTTCCTCCCTCTTGCTTTCGGGACCGTGCGCTAGTCCTCTCAAGGCTCCGCATGAGCAAGGGACGGCGGGGGTGAGGGCTGTGAGGGGCGAGCCAGGCTCCCTGTTGGTGCTCGAGGCCCAGAAAGTTTCAGACTCGGAGAGGGCGGTGGGAAGCTCCCTTAGGAAACTTTTCAGGAGTTTCCTCCTTACTCTGGGAGAGAAAGGAACTTGCCCAAGGTGACTGTGCAGAGCCTTCTAAGGCGCACTCTCTGCACCGGGGCAGTCCTCAGAACGGCCAGCTGCACCCCAGGGAGCCAGACAGGCCTGAGAAGAGAGAAGTGCCCCAGAGCCCGGTCCCCAGAGGCCTCCTCCTTTGGGGTGCTTTGGCGGTGGGGCATGCTTTCCGACTAGTGAGGAAGACCTGGCGTCCTTAGGTCTGGAACGAGTCAAGGGTGTGCCTTGTCTCACAGGGACCTTAGTTCCGGGTGAGGAACTCTGATCTTTCTGGCACCCTGTAAAAGCAACTGCCTTTGCAGTCTTCATTGTGACTGCCAGAGACCCCGTCATTAAGTGAGACTATAAGGTATAAATAAAGAAATGCTTATAAATTGAGTAACCCCAAGCAGAGCAAGTGGCACTTAGCCAGGAGAAATTGGCCGGTTCTTGAAAGTGTGAAATACGGAAACAGACAAGAAGAGCCATTCATAGGCATTTTAAAATATACACATTTTGGATCTGAATGTCTGGTTTTCTTAGCCTCCTCTGAGAATGAATTTCTGAAGATTGAGTTTGCTTTGTATGTTTTGTGCATTAATCAGGAGGTTCTTATGACCAGTGGCTTTTATGACAGGAGGGCTTAGCATTCTGCCTGTCTTCCTTTTACCCTCCTCCTCTTTTTCTCATTCATAAAATCATAGTCTGGAAAGACCCATGGAGATCATCCACTTAATCTTTATTTGACTTTATTTTTAAAATTAACATACAGTACCATTGACTTTTTTAGTGGATGGTTCTATGAGTTTTAACATATACATCTGTATAACTAATACCAAAATCAAGGGTCCATCAGTTCCATCATTGCCAAAAGTTCCCTCGTGCTTCCCCCTCTTCCTCAACTGCTGACAATCAGTGAAATGTTCTGAATTGCAATAGTTTTGTTTTCTCCACAATGTCATAAAAAAAATGGAGCCTTACAGTATGGATCCTTTGACACTGGCATCTTTTACTCATCATAATGCCTTTGAGATTTATCCATGTTGTGTGTGTCAGTAATTCTTTTTAATGCTAAGTAATACTCCATTGTATAGATGTACCATAGTTATTCCATTCACCCTGGAAGAATATTTGTGTTATTTCCACTTTTGACTGATTATAAATAGAGCTTCATTTTACTCTTTACTGTTTTTACTTTTAATTTACCTATACCTTTATATTCAAAGTGAGTTTCTTGTAGATAACATGTAATTGGGTCTTATTTTTTTTAATCCATTGTGACCATCTATTTTTTAATTGGTGTGTTTAGATCAGTTACATTTAGTTATTGATATGGTTAGATTTAGTGCTACCATTGTACTACTTGGTTTCTGTTTGTTATTCTATTTTTTTTCTCTTTCAATTGATGGCAGAAACGAATTATTTTCTATTACTTTTGTTATGCAACATTCAAAATTGTCTTTGTGGCTGTTTATAGAAAAAGTGTCCAGAGAATACTTTACTGCAAGCTTGGCAGGAAGTATTAAATTCTGGTTCATGGCTTTCACCCACAAGATGTTGATAATACAAATGTGCAGTTGTATTTTATCTCTTTTGTCTGCTTAACTGAGAGATTTTGGGGTTGATTCCATTCTGTTCATCTTGCCAGTGCTTCTGAAATTGGAAATATTTAGAAGTTTCTATTTAGTTGTCTCCTTCTGGGAGTTCTGACCCTCAAGTTCAATGTTCATTGATCCATTGGCTAGGAGTAGAGTTTTTGCCTTTATTTGTTCATTTGTTCATTTGTTCATAAATAACTTTTTGTGTATAGTCTGTGTAAGGTACCATGCTAATTTCATAAAAAGATTAGTATTTTTACACTCTTAAGAGGTGATACCTCCTTGGAGGAAATATCATTTGATTGGCTTATTAAATAGCAGACTAAAAATTACATATCCAAAATGAGGTTAAAATTTGTCGCTTTGGAAAACTATATGGGCATTCTAAAATACTTTTGACACTTGTCTTATGGAATTACCTTCACAATTTTCGACACAGTGAATGGTGACAATTCATGTGTTAGATACTGTGCCTAATTCTAAGGGTGATACAGTAGTAAAGGTGAGGAAAAAAGAAATACATTTTTGCCTTCAAAGAGTTAAATTTTGGTAGTCAAACTAAAAGAATAGCAACCATTAGGGAAGTCTATCTCTTAATCTCTCTCTCTCTCTCTGTGTGTATATATAGAGATTATATTACTCAGACAATTACCCTAGCCTTAAAAAATGTAAGGTCTGGTGGTTGAGATAAGAAGTACAGAAATACTATTGGGTAGAAGATGTTGAATGTGATAGAAGATAAGAGGCCATGAGATTTTAGAGGAAGAGACCAGTACTTTTTACTGTTGTAATTACTTCATGAAAAAACTTGAAATGACCTCTGAAGAAAGCTAGGATATGATTATGTAGAAATGGGGGAGGATTAAACCCATTCTATTCATTTATTCATTCATTCTTCCTTTGAATGGATATTTGTTGACTGCTTTTATCTCTACAGGATCCCTGTGAACTATTGTAGGTGACAGGAATTAATCAGGTATTTATAGGGACTTCTGTGTAACTTATTTTGATTGGTGTGTAGCATATGAGTATGACGTGTATGTATAAGAAGGAGTTATTGCTAGTAATAAAGCTGTAGAATTAGACTGGGGTTAATGCATCAAGGGCTTTTTGAGTGCCAAGGTAGTTAAATAGATGCCATTGGATCTTTAAGTTTTCTGAGGACTGATGGGCCATGATCAGAATTGCACTTTAGGAAGTCACTTAGGTAGTGGGATATGTAGTGGATTGGAACAGATTGAGCAGATTAGAATTAGGAAACCATTGAAATAGCTCAGAGGAGAAGTAATGGAGGGCTGGACGTGGTGAGGATGAGCAAAGTAGTGGGGTGGGGATATGGAGCAAAGGGGAGTGATGGTGGAAGGAAGAGAAAGAAACTTCGCTGTCCACACACTTCAACCCATCATTGGGTGTGAAGAGAAATGGAAAGGACAAAGTCAGGAATCTCTCAAATTTCAACTAAGGATGTGGTTTTTAATAGAAATAGGAATGTTATGAAAAGAGTTGTCCTCTAGTCACAGTGATGTTTCCTTGTTAAAACAATTGGGCATGAGGTCATTACAGGTCAATATCTGATCTTCATCAAAGTACCTTCCCTTTCATGCCCTCCAAAAAACAGAGAAGCACCTCTGTCTCATTTTCCTGACCTTGATTTTTTCCCCTCTTCCTCCCACATTCCCTGTAATCTCCTTGGGCTTCTTCCTGGCAATCTGTTCACCCTCTCCAGGGGACCTCTGTCTCTTTGGCTCCAGTTGTGGCCTTTCTGGCTCCCCACCTGTGTTGCAGCTGGACAAGTCTTCACACCCACACTCAGTCGTGCACCCCCATACAAGTCATCAGCTATATTAGTTTAATTTGTAATTGGATTGTTAGACGGTATCTCATTTTTTCAGTTGTCATATGGATTTGCTGTGACTCTGTTTTTCAGGCTAGATAGAATACAGAGGGATACTGAACTAAGTTATTGTTTTAAGTTAAGCTTTTTCTAGTTGTGTTAAAATCTACTTTTTAGCTGCTGAAGTAGATAGCAATAAGCTAATGGTGGGGAAAGAGATCTTCAGAAACACGTTCTTTACTTGCTTTTAAACTTGGATTCATGAATAGTACTTCCTTAGGACGTACTGTATAGTTTGAGACTATATTCATTTTGAATGCAATTTTAGTATACTCTATGATAACTGATGAGAGATAAAAAGCTACTGAGATTTTGATGGAAACTTTTCATTATATCTATAGGAAGGTGCTATGTACATGCCATATAGGTGGCTGAGTGAATATCATTGAGCTTAATGTTAGAAATTTTTTCACCAGTATTTTCTTCGGTGAAAAAATTTTGTCTTTAATTTTTAATGAGGGACATTGGTGTGTGGATTCTATATTTTAGGAAACTTTATTAATATGCCATCTGAAACAAGTATTGTGGGGTAAATTTGCGAAAGTCTTAAGGGAAATAGGTATTGGGCATATCTGAAGGAGAGGCAAAAATTGTTTTCTTCTCTACTGATACTTAAAAATTATTTTCATATTATTTGGAATTTCAGTGGTCTTGCAGAAAGATACGAAATCTCCAGTGTTACTTAGAAATACATGCAATTCCAAGAAGGTGAAATGATGAAGCCTATCATTTAAACAGATGTACATCAAAAAGAAATTTTTAAAATAGTTCATATATACACATGGTATAAAATTCATAAAATTCAAAAGGGCATTTACACAAGGGAAAAGTAAGTTTCCTCCAAGCCCTGGCCCACACTAGTTACCTGCCCTGGAGGTAACCATTGTTCCTCATTTTATAAAAAATAAAAATGCACCTTAAAGTTAATGCTCTTATTATTATATTAAGTATTGTCTTCTTAAATATAGCAAAATCTACTGATATTTTTGCAGCCTCTGTTATAACTTTACAATTATGGTTGCAGTTTGAATTACATGTCAGTGCTGGAAATGTCTTGAAATGAACTTATTGGCTTCACTTTTATCCTGTTGTTTTTAGAAACACAGGTTTTATTTTGTTTTGTTTTAAATTGTACCCTTTTGAAG